GCGCGGCCGAGTCGATGGTTTTCGACTTTGAGAATGAGAGTTTGTGACGAACATCTCTTCATTCTGATTGGTCGGTAAACCGAACCTAAGTGGGGGAGGATGTAACGGGGTACGTAGCACTAAGTGTACCCTGGTTACATGAAGTGTGACACTTCACACTTCAGGAGTATGACATGTCATACTCCGGGATATTTGGTACAAGGTACCAAGGTCATTCAAAACCAACCATTGGTTAAATGACATTGCATTTCTATAGGTAACTGATAGTTTGTATTAACCTCAAACTTAACCTACCTATAAATATACTCAGTTTACAATCTACCTTATTTAGGTCACTTCGCTCTCTTTAATTAAAGAGGGGACCTGTGAACTGCCGTTCACTGAGAGTTTGTATACTCTCGGAAGATAACTTCCTCTAGCGCAAGGTGCTGTGTGACCCCGTCACAAAGTCAATGGTGGCATCAATGTCTATTCACGTTATTCAAGAAACGTGAGGTCGAAGCACTTTCGACTGTCACCGACCGCAGCAGTTTGGCTTCGTATGCTGATGTCACTCGTGTACAACGCACACCAGTCATTTCTGCTGCTACAAGTGAATTTTATGTTTTGGTTAAAACGATTTTCAGACTAGTGTGTTATGTTTGCAGTCCCATTCCTTTTTGGAGAACAGGTCGCTTTGTACAACTTATAGAACGTATCAAAAACATCGACAGAATCTCCCAAGTTTTGCGGTATTCTGCCGTCAAGATGCTGTTGCTCTCTCTCGAAGACCTAAAGCAGCACAATCACTCAGTACGATCAGTGAAAACACTCCTCAAGCAAGCGCCTTTGAGCTGAGTAGCACAGTTGCCTACATGAAGCGCTTGCATTTCGAAACTGAGAAAGAATGGATCGCCTTGCGGCTTTCAAAAACATCTGCACATGTCGCGGAAAGCATACCTTCTCAGCAAACAATTAGCGATTACTGACGAGTTGTATCCCAGGTCCGAGTTGAAGGCGCATTGCTGCGAAGCTGCGTTTTATACTGTCGACGAAACCATGACATCGAGAATGAGGCCTACAGCCGCCTAGGATATAAGACGATCTTTGAGTGCGCCGTATGTAAAGTATCATTATACCGTACAAAACGCTGGGATACAGATCAGTCATGTTTTGATAAGTTTCATGCTGATCGAAAGCTGCCGAACTCGTGCAAGAATTCAGAACACCAGAAAAAAACCCCACCAAGACGAGCGAAAATCGAGCGATACCGCCAAGCAGAAAGAGGTCCACATCGCTAGACACTCCTAATCTACGAGCTCCTACCGTTCGCCTTTCAAGCAAAAAGCGTCGGCGTTCGTTGCGACTGAAAGAAGTAGTCAACACCTCTGCGGGGTTGCAATAATTTATCCTAAAAAAAGGATAAATCTCGGCGAAGCCACTTTTCGCTATACAGTACAAGATTTGCCCAATCTCCACGAAGGTGTTAGGATGAACGTAGTAGAAGGTCCGTAAGTTTACAAAAAGACGACGTATCGATTTTTCATTTCGTGTCAACACACGTCTGAAATGCTCTCGTCTTCAACGGAGCAGTCACAAATTGATAATTATTTTTATGCTCGAAACAGTCCTGTTGGGGTTAAGATTTACTATCTACGGGATGTTAATCCGCGCGCTGCGCCGGCTAGGGGCGCTTTCGTCCTCTTGTAGACTGATACAGCCAGACGAAGTCGATAGTGGTTAGTAGCTAATGAAGTAATAAAATAGTAACGACTTGTTACCCGCCGTTGACGTGCTGTCGTCGACGAGTAGGTGTAGAACACACACAAGTAGTGCTAGTCGGAAATTCCAAAACTCGCAGTGACTCTTTAGGCGGTCGTCTAGCATTCAGCCCTTCATTATAAAGTCACTTCTACTTTCTACTTATGAAACTCGAATCAAACAGGGAGCAATAGTCGCCTTCTTGAAAATCACCTTCAGCTTCCAGTCGAGGTTGTGGGCAGGTTTCCAGGTGAGTTCGTGATAGTCAGCCCATTGGATACGAAAACACTTAGAATCATTCACTCAGCGTTTTGCGTACACTTTTTCGACGTCAAAGCATCGTTCTCCTCGACATCGTCTTGCTCGGTTGCTGGCAATAGACCAGCGCCGCTGCGCATCACATCGATCGAATTTCTGACTTCTTTGGTGCTTGATGGGCGGTTCGTAAAGTTGGGATTGATAGTAAGCAGGTAGGAAGAGCCGTCGAGCCTGCGTTCCATGTTACTGACATGTTTCTTCCTCTTACTAGAGGGTGGCATTGTAAATGCTAGAGTGATCAAATTTTAGTTTGGATTGGTTTAATTTCCCTCAATTTTTTCTAATTTGTAAATTAGAATCGTACATTCACCGACGATTTAGCAATTTTACTACTTACGATGGTTTTGTGGAGATGTACCCTTCAGCGTTACGCTTTGACATACCGTATGCTATTTTGGCTGCAGCTTGTCACTGGATTATAATAGAATGTATTATTTCTTAAAATGAACGGACAGAAGTGATACAAGAAAAAAGGCACACTGGTTTTTTTAATACTGCTGGTGGCTACCGGTAATATGAACTGAGGCCTGGTCAGCCCCTATGCACAGGTTGGCCGGGAGGTGGTTGTACTGAATCCGTCCTCTGGGGAGAACGGACCTGAAATGGTGTATACGGAGAGGTGAACGAATCGTGATGATGTCCTATCGAGGTTCGTGTAGAGTCGTCGATACGCTTGAATCGGGCAGGCTGACGAGTATTCACAAGGCGTGGAATTTAAAATTATATGAGTATTTTGAATGGAGAGTAATACTTTCTTACAATCCAATTAGCGTTACTCGCATGCGTACTTACCAATAAACTGGCTTTCATTAAATGCGATCTTATGAGCTAAAGTCATCTGTTTCCACTCTGATTGGTAATTTTTAAAGATTGGGATTAACCCAGTACATACATGTACCGGTTTCCCCCTGTCCTGGCCGTGTGCGCAGCTTGTTGTAGGTTATGGGTTGCTACACAAAATTAGTAGCTAAAACTTAAGATTTAGGTAAATTCACTGATACTTAAGTTGTTTATTTTAGCCAATAAAAAAGTGGACACGGCGGAATTCAAACCGGCGTCCAGTATTCTCGTGATCAAACCAACTGCCACATCCAGCAGCTAACCGGAATAGTTTGTTGAGCATCCGAGGTGACGGTCCCGGCCTACTTCAACGACTCGCAGCGTCAGGCGACTAAATATGCTGGAGCTATTGCTGGTTTGAACGTGCTGCGTATCATTAATGAGCCGACGGCTGCTGCGATCGCCTATGGGCTCGACAAGAAAGGAGGCGAGCACAATGTGCTTCTTCGATCTCGGAGGCGGCACGTTCGACGTCTCACTGCTAACTATTGAAGACGGGATTTTCGAGGTCAAGGCGACGGCGGGTGACACGCACTTGGGCGGTGTGGACTTCGACAACCGTCTGGTCGAGTTCTTCGTGACCGAGTTCAAGCGTAAGCACCGCAAGGATATGACGTCGAACCAGCGAGCTCTGCGTCGTCTTCGTACGGCGTGCGAACGCGCCAAGCGGACGCTGTCCCCTTCGGCGCAGGCGTACATCGAGAGCATAGTCTACAGCAATACGAGTAAACCTCTTTGGCCTTCTGCCTGTTCCAGATGAGCGTGGCCTCCCCTTGGTGTGTTCGGCATGTGACAAAGTCAAATGTGTGGCAGGAGCAGTCTCATAATTAACTGGTTGTGAGACTGCGGACATAATTCTTAAATGAAGAAATGTGATTGGCTAAAATAAAAATTCGCTTAGGACAAAACTTCGCTTAGGACAGGGTGGAAGGCGGTATGTACGGAATTTCCTCGAATTAAAAATCATGTATACATGCGAAAATTGTAATGTACCCGTGTTGTACCAGTAGATGACGGTTTGGACGCAAACATTGCGACAAACTGCCGTCTGTGCATTGCACAAGGCTGCGCAAGTGGGCTTGCATTACTATTTACCCTCGGAAGTCTACCTTTATAAACAAGCTAAAAGTGAGCAGATGGTTTCGAACAATCGTATGCCGTACTGTGTGCTGGCATTGTCAACACACAGTACGGCATATGGTTGCCAACTTGGCAGCGCCTCATACAAAGTATCCTTAGTACCTACACTGTAGATTTCTACAGGTACATGTATACACAGCAGTGATGTGAGGGCAGCAATTGCAGATTCTCAAAAGGAAATAGGAAGCTACTACAAGTAGTAAGAATACCTATTGCTCGTCTTGTCAAGGGTAGCTGTATTTGAACGAGTTCGATGGGGAAAAACAGCATTTTAGGCGTGATCTGGACGCCAAGAAGTGAAGTCGATAAAAAAACATAAGCAACTGTCAATTGTTTGAAAACTTCGCTCTACATTTGTCGCTCCCCAAATACATGCGGCGTACGGTCGTAAAGCCTGTAAATTTGCTACACGTACCATCTATGCTATGTTTACAGGCACATGGCGGTAAACGTATCAAACGTTTGTTACCGTATTAATAGTACTGTTTTCAATTCAGTACATGTACATGCGGAGATGCATTTAATACTACAGTGCACTGTCCATAGGTACTACTTTAAAGTATGGATACGTTCTGTATCCATACCGGTACAGTACCGTACTATTAATACCTCTTCAATTGATTTGTCCAGTGTCTTGTAGCTTTGAGCTAAGGTGTTTCCTATATGTCAGAGTGCCGGTAGTATTTATCAAGCGACGTTAAATATTAATGAGTCAACTTGTGCTTATACATGCATCGGAAGTTAAATAATTAGCCACGAGACTGCTACAGTCTTTGCCTAGCGGAGACGTCTGGTTGCCTTCTTGACGGTAAATGGTGATGTACACCCTTATAAAAAAAAACGAGCCTGTACATGTAATCTGAACTGTATTTTTTGGTCGAGCTGTGTTATAGGCTCACACATCACTCTGCATCTCTTCCATTCTGCAATCTGCCTCCTCCAGCACAGTCCAGTCCACAAGCATGAATATTCGCAGTCTCTTCATCGCTACTATCGCAGCGATTGCTGCGGGCGAAGCTCAATCCAAGGTCATTCCGTACGACACTCTGCAGCCATTTCCCCAACCGATTCCTACCACTGACGCTCAAAAGGCAATTCTCAAATACAAGCCTCAACTTAAGGTTGAGGAGGGATGTCACCCGTACCCCGCAGTCCAGAGGAACGGTGACATTAGCAGCGGTCTCAGATGGAGTGGTCCCGAGGACATCGGATGCAAGGGCTCGTCTTTGGGCTCTCAAATCTACGCTCGCTCAAAATTGTTCAAGGACAAGTGGGCTGTCATGTACACTTGGTACTTTCCGAAGGGCCGTGCACCGATCCCGGGTCTACGCTCCTCCGGCCACCGCCACGGCTGGGAATACGCAGTCGTGTGGCTGGACAGACTCGACGCAAACAGCTCGACTATCCTGGGCACGTCTCTGTCGGCTGCTGTTGGTTGGGCGAAGGAGTCCCCTACTCCAAAGGAGTACCTGGATGGTCACAGTTTGAAGGTCGCGTACTACTTTAACGACGATTTCAGCAACACCGCCGTGAAGTACACACAGGATGGTGGTGCGTTCCAAGACCTCATCCAATGGGACCAACTCTCGGACCCCGCTCGGGCCTCTCTGATCAACACAGATTGGGACGAGACGCTTTTTAATGTGGCTCGTGTGAAGATGCCGATGAAGGATGGCGTGTTCGAGGAGAAGCTCTCTGGTGCGTACCCATTTTAATACGGTGCGCCAGTGCGAGCACCTGGAGACTGAAATACATGTAGTTACTATCGCGGGATCCTTAACCTGTACAGGGCCACGTGAGTGAGTAGCACGTAAAGGGTGCAGTCGCCGTAAACCACATAAATCAAAATACTTGCTCATAATACAGGTGGAGAGAGTGTGCACTCATACAAAAATACACTTCGAAGCACTATGCGAGATGAAGTAAATGCAACAGCGATACCTCAATAGAAAAAAATGCTCTGTCCAGTAGCTTCTATAATAATAGTAATGCTACACAATCATGGCTTCGGAGAGAGGGAATGTTATACTACTCTGTTCCATACGCAACGAGCGACCGCACAAAAATAAATTATATCATTGGCTATTATTAGGCTAAGAATAGAGATTTGCTATTTTCTAATTTGTGGCTACCAGCTACATGTACATAATACGTGTCAGCTGTGCAGATAAGCATGATGTGCTGCCGTCTGATCGCTCTAACGGCAGGCACAACAAATGTTGATGTTGTCAACATCGCTATCAAATACCAGCCAGCTACAGACAACGACGGTGAAACTCAACCCCCAGTAGACATGCATTTTCAAGTCATTTTTAGAAAAGCCAACAAGACAAAAAAACTCGACCCCTTTCGTGGTATCACCTGAGATTGGTCAAAATTAAACCGACCCAACAGTTTATTAAAAGTCGAAAAAACAATTTAAACAAACACCGTAAAAAAGCAAAAACATGTATTATTTTGCTCTACACCATCACGACAGGGTGTTTTGGGATTGCTTTTTCAAAGCTTTTAATAACACATTCCGTAGATATGTTTTCCCACGCTCTAATTGTGCGTGTTACGGCAGCCAGACGCTTTTCCTTCGCGGTTCTTGTAACTGTTACCTTCTCTCGTAGCCATTCAGCTGTCAACTTTTTCTTTAGTGGCCCCATAACGCCCACGTCAAGGGGCTGACTCACAGAGGTGCTGTTAGCAGGCCCGGGGACCACAATTGCAGAGGTCTTCTCCGCCACAACGCTCTGACCGGCTTCGGAAATATGCGAGTCAAAATTGTCCAGCAAGAGGATTGACGGGGCATCAATCTCGTACTTTAGCAAGTTCAAAACGTACGTTTGCCACACTGTGGCGTCCATCCAGCCATTTTCTTGGACGGTGTACACGTGGCCTGCAGGATACGTCGGAAGTTCATCCGTCTCCACAGTCCCGCCCGGCATTCCTCGTAGTATAAACAGTATTGGTAGTTTTTTTCCTAAAATATAAATAGGTTAGTTTAAACATAATAAAATCATTAAATCATTAAACAAAACTTACCATCCGCTCTAATGGTGAGAACTGCAGTGAGTCTACCAGAGTTTTTCTGCGTGTGCTTCACTTTAGCGGAGCCACGACGGCCTTCGAGGGCCCAAATCTTGTGGGGTGGGGTGTCAAAATATATTGCTGTCTCGTCGACATTGTATATGGCGGATTGCTGGAAGTGAGAATGCTGTTTCCAAAACTCTACGGCAAAGTTCAAATGGATTTCTTGTAGTGCATCTTCATCCTTTTTAGTAAACTGCGGTTTCTGAACAGAAAACCATGGCTATAACATTAAGAAAAATATGAAAGCTATAAATATTGATTAAAAACACAAATAAAATAGGATAAATTGCTAAAACGTTTGATTAAACCAACATATTGGAAAACGAGATGCTTACCGAGCTGCAAACCGCTGGCACATACGCATCAACGCGCTCAATGCGCGCTCAGGAGATGATTTATCGGCTAAATACTGCTCCAGCCAAGCCCCCTGCTCCATCTTCATATACTCGATCATGCCTCCAGTACACAAATACTATATATACACGTTAGAATCTGCAATAAATAATATAACAAAACAAATTTACCTCTTCATCCCGACGGACGTCTTTCATGAAGGTGACCAATTCGTGCTCAAATGTGATTTTAGTCTTTGCGCCTTGTCCTTTTGTCGTTCTGCTAGTTTGAGGTCCCTTATACTCAAACAGCAGTTTTGCCTTCTTTCTCCAGCCCTTCAACATACCTAATGGAATATTAAGCGCCCGAGCGGTAGGTTTACATCCCTCCAGAGCCACCCGCTCGAGCGCTTCCCGTCTCTGCTTGACGGTGTAGCTGTTCTGCCGACGACGTTCGTCCATCACTTCGCAGAAACAGCAATAGCGTGATTGTTTAAACGGCGCCAGCATGGCGTGCTGTCCAGCAATATATTTGAAAGTATATTATTGGCTAAAATTACAAATAACATTTTTACTTGAGTTTAAAGTTGCACTGTAAGGGGGGTCGAGTTTTTGTGGGGGGTTGAGTTTCACCGTCGTTGTCTGTAAGTCGCCCGATATGAACGTACTCGACTTGGGTCTGTTTAACTTGCTACAGTCGGCTTAATACCGCACACCAACGTACAAGATCGATGCTTTAATTGCGGAAGCTGAAAAAACTTACTGTGATCTATCTAGTAGGACTATAGATAAGTGCTTTTTGACAGCACAAAAAATACCAGAATCTGTCATTGCGTGTGCCAGGAGACACTTAAAAAAATATGAAGGGCCACCAACTCAAAATTAGTATCTTTTATTTTATGATGAGCTCTTTTCTACACACCTTGTTTTATTTATGAGAGTGGGTATCTTGCCCGACTGGGGTTGCTCTTCCCCCTACGCATCCCTTTCTCTTACCGAGCTGGTTCATCCGTACAACAGTATACATCGTATAGCGCCGTGAGCCACACAATTCGTTAACGGGGAGAGCGTGAGCGACAAACATGGATCTCCGCACGCGCGCAGCGCAAAAGCGCTCTCTTACTCATTCAGCTGAGTGGGAGTCCGACGAGAGCGAGAGTAATAGCTCGGATGCGCCTCCTGATGACGTCTGGGCGCCTTCCCCCGTCGTGAGTGATCTTGGTACGACACATATTCCGTTGGAGCCAGTGAGCTGCTCCGATCCGCCGGAATCCACCAGCAGCACAAGCGAAGGTGGTAGCTCCGTCCGCGTACTCGCCTTGACGCCTACGAAGGTTGCGTTTCCCTCCTGGGAGGTGTTTGAAGATTATCTGGCGGTATATCAAGCACAGACGTTCCAGGCACATGTATTATATAGCTGTGTATACACGTTTTGGCTGACATGCACTATGAATTTTTCTGTTAATTTTCAGGGTGAGGACAAATACCACTGTGGCAGAGCGCAACGCACGGATCGACCGCATCAAGTCGAAGGGGGAAAAACTTCCTGACGAGTGGGTGCAATACGCAAAGACCTTTGTTTGCACCTATTCCGGAAAAATTTGAGTCCCAGGCCTTGAGCAAGAGACCCCGGCAGGAGTCTAGGATGAAAGGATGCAATGCCCAGGTAAAGTGAATGATCGGGCTCGGTCGGGCTTGGTCGGGTTCGTTCGATCGGGATTGAGACTGGTCTGGTCGGGATGGAAATCTGAATGAGGTCTTAACACTCTCTATGTGATTGATTATGTGTAGATAAATGTTTGTGTTCAGGTGGTGGATTCTGAGAAGATGATCCTCGTTGTGAGGATAACGAGATGTCGACTGGAACACAATCATCGGCTTTCGGACCATTCGTTTACAGCACATCCAACAAATCGTCTTGTGCTGAATGAGGATGCTTTACAGACAGTGGATGTACTTCGACAGGCTGGTGCTAAGAAGTCGAGTATCATGAAGTACATTACGGAAACCTCGGACAGCAACCCGACTTCGCAGGATGTCCACAATCTTATTCGTAAGTTGAAGGCTCGGGAATTACGAGATGGACCGAGCACTAGTGAAAAGGTTGAAGAAGTGGATGAAGCAATTTGGTGACCGCCCTGGTAATGTTAGTCGGATTTTCCTCGACGATGTAAATCAGAAGGTAACTGGTGTGAATAATTTGGGTTAAATTGAAAAGATGAAAACTTAACTCTATGTTTATCGTGTTTTGAACATACAGAAAGTGGCGACCTGCATCACCCTGCAGATGAATCATATGAGGACTCTGTTCGAGCAGTTTCCTGAAGTTCTTTTGATTGACGCCACCCACGGAACGAATCGGTCTAAGTACAAGGTCTTTTCGTTTATGGCTCATGACACGTTTGGCAAGGGGCAGTTCGTCCAGCACGCTTTGCTTCAAAACGAGCGGTACACTGCCTTACTGACGGCGCTGGAGGAATTCAAAGTTAATAATCCAGCGTGGAAAAGGCTGCAGTGTATTCTTGTGGATAAGGATTTCACGGAGATTTCAGTATTGGAAGAAGCTTTTTCTGGAGTGACTATTTTGCTCTGCCAATTTCACGTACTGAAATACCTACGTGAAGAGGTTGCCTCGGCTGATTATGGATTTTCGAAGACCCAGAAGGAGAAACTTGGGGGTGCGATGAGCTTACTGGTGTACGCAAAGACGGAAGCAAAATACGAGAAGCATTTGCGGTACATGGTCCGCCTCGCGTCAATTGGCTACTACGTCCTAACGTCTAATGCGCCGGAGCCAACTGGGAGTGAACCGAACTTAGACGACCGTCAATCGGGGTCAGTCGGGGGTGAGTCTGGCACAGTTGGGCATGCGAAATCGGGTACAGACCGGACGCCAACGAGAGAACCCGTTCGATGCGGCGAAGAACACCCATTTGTGGCGTACTTCCGCCGGAATTGGGACAATTGCCGTGAGATGTGGTCTGCGTATAAGCGCCAAAATACGGTGACACTCGGAAATAACACAAACAACAGGCTGGAAGCCTCATGGAAGCAATTGAAAGCGTGGGTGGATTCTTTCATGGCTGTCGATGAGTCTATGGTGTAGTATCAAACGCTACAAGAAAAATTGTTCATCGGTGAAGTGACGAAGAACGTGAACGTACAGCACCCAAATAACGATGACGAAATGACCTGGCGGGCAAATAGTGTGAGCGCACACGCCTGTGATCTTATTGACGGGCTGTATTATTTTGCCCTCGAACGAGCGGCATATACCTTCTCTGAGCGGCTGCCCGGTGTGTACTTGATAAAGAGTACGTGCAAGGATATCGAT